TGTTTTCTCTTGGCCCTGTACTTTTCCCAACTCTCCTCAGACGCCTCACTCAGGTACTGCTTGAAGACTTCTCTACGTTCCCGTATTTCTTCTTTCAGCTCGTCATCCCACCACTTAACCGATACCCCATATCGTACCACCTTCTTTCCCACTACTCTCCCCGGGGGGGGCTTCAAAAAAGTGTGTACCTAATTTTTATCACGACACAGCATAGACACAGCAGTTAGCACCAAACGGCATTGTCGGGAGAGGCATCGTTCGCCTGAATCAAGACTGGAGGATGGGCGAGCATCAGGATTCTGGCGTGGGGCTACGCGTCCCGCGCACCGTCCGCTCCGCGTTGTGCCCAAAACTGGAACTGGAACTCATTACATGGTATCTAGGAGCAGTGCGAGTTTCAGAGCTCTAACAAAGGTAAATACTACTTCTAAAGCCACGCCTCTGTGATCTGGGACCCCATGATGGGCGGGCCATTGGGGAGGCTAGGCTATTCTTGGGGGAGGCTGGGCGATCCTCCAGAATAAAGACAGAAACGGGATTGTGCGTGTCTTTAATAGATCGACCGCTCTAACCGGCTGACCAATGAAAAGGCGTAAGTCTCAGTGCGTGTCTTGTGTCTGCGCGTGGACCGCCTACGCAGGACTTGTAAGAGTATCTAGCAAAAGAAAAGGGAGGGGGCACGCAGACCCTATCCCCAACCCTAACCCTAACCCCAAAGCATGGATTGAATACTTTATCCAATACGTTTGCTCAATCAACTTTGTTGCGTAGACTAACGGGGACGGTGCGCGTCAATAGCACCGGCGTTAGCTGCGGCGGCTGCATGCCGAAGTAGAGAGTAGTGCGCAGGTTTTGTAGTCTGCGCTTGTGTCTCAACGTGTCCAGAAATACAAAGCAGCCTTCAGTCGTCTTGGAAAAGGGCGGGAGCGCGAAAGGGTTCACGAGCAGCAGTGCCTCAGGCCTCAGCGACATTGGCCCGGGGCGTTTCGTTCTTGTTCAGCCAGAAAAAGGACTGCATACATACGAAGTGGTACGAGTCAGCAAGAGAGACGATGGCAAAACGCCGAGAAGCCTCGCACATCATATATCGCGCCGGGGCTAACTTTGCGGCGGCACAGAGGGGTTTACGTATATACCCCCAAACCGCTCTCTTATACAGCGCTTGCTAGGCCTGCTGGCGGCAAGGCGGAAAATATACCGCCGCTATCCTTACGTTAATCCTATTATTATATTCAAGACTGAAAGTGCGCGGCGTGTTGTACTGCAGCTGCTCGTTGATATCTTCGTTTCAAATCCAAGTTTCCTTTCTACTGCTGTACAAGAAGACGAATCTGTGGGAGTGTTTTGCGGCGTGCGCATTGAGCATGGCTCTTGTACGGCAAACGGGTGTCTGGCGTGCCTTCGCCATCACCCTGTCAACTACTGCTGTAGAAGGACGCACAATAGGCAAGACACAAAACAAAGCGTTTCGGAGAAAACAACATTCCCGCAGGCAGGCGCCCAGGCCCCAGGGGAGCGTTGTGAGCAACAACGGCAAGCTGATTTTGGTTGCATCTTGCCCCAAAACAAGCTCTTTCTCCGGGATCGGTTCTTGTCATCCCGCTACCAGCACGCGCACGATGCCGAACTATAAACGTACAACCATCGTTCGGGCGATCACCTCCCGGTTGTATCGACAACCGCTACATTTAGACTACCGTAAATGACACAAGATAGCACACCCCCTGGTCCGATTTTTCAAATCTCGATTTCTCAACAACAGAAAGAGTCACGGCGCCGAAAACGGTGGCGTTGGAACTGTCTTGTCGAGATCTTTTCAAAAATGTATCGCTTCGTTTATGCATCTTCTTCGTCGTGGAGTAATCCAGCATTGAAAACTGGTCCAGGGGGTGTGTTATCTTGTGTCATATACGGTATGCTTCTGTACGTAAATCACCTATCGGTGTCGGCACCGCTGCCGTCGTTGCATGTAGTCAGCCGTTCGTTGCTTCTCGTGCGTGCGTGTTTCTTGTGTGTGTAAGAGGTAAAGAGAGGGTGTGACGCAGCACCCCGAGCAAGTACAGCGAAGCATCCAGCGGACCCACGACGATGGCCTGATGGCAAGTGTCCAGGGTACGTACCGCAGCAGCAGCTCTCGCACCGCAGCACCAGCAGGAACGAACATCATGTTCGCGGGCTGCCCCAGCAGGCAGGAGAGAAACAAAAACGCACCTGCACCAGCGCTCTCGACATGCCGCCCACCCCCGAGTGCACCTCCCTGACTTCTTCCAGTAACTCCATCGTCTCCACCGCCGATCGGGTTAGCTCCCTGAGCCTCCGCTTCCCCGAGCCTCGTTTGCCTTTCCGCATCTTCCGGCTATGTACACACAAGCTTGTTCGTGCTTGCAGTTGATGTTTCGAACCCCCTTTTCAATCTGCCTCGCTCGTTCACTCGTTTGTTTTACTCAAACAGGGAGGGCAAACAAGCAATGAAAAAAAAGGCGACAGAAGAGCAACAGCAGCAGCGGTTCCCCTTTTGATTCAAGCCGTACTCTCCAGCCGGCGGTGCTGTGGTGCGCTTCTGCGGCAACAGTTTTGTGGGGGGGACGCGATTGAGACAAAATGAAGGCATAGGGGGGCACAGCCTGCGGAGTGACGCCGCGCCCATCATGCGATTACTGCTTCCTCGCCCTGCCGGAAGAGCGGGAGAGCGCTTGATCCTCCTGCTGATTCGAACTTCCAGCTTCAGGCTGCAGCGAAAGGCGAGGAGAACAAGTCTACCCACTCAAGAGAGAATACCAGCTGCTGCTGCTGTGGATCGATCTCCTCTAAAGCATGGCGGCGGCGTCGTTGTCCTCTCCCCTGCAAGCGATGGACATTTCCAACGCGTTGGACGCGGCGGCGGCATTGGGGCTCGCCGACGACGAGGCGGTGAAGTCGAGGATACTGGGCTACGTGGATTTAATCGAAGGGATGCAGGTGCGGCGGTCGAAGCGCTGCTGTTGTTGTTTTTGCGCCGATTGAGTCGTCGTGGTACGCGTAAATTTGTATCAGTTTGCGAGTGTATTGTGGATACAGAACTAGACTACTGCTGTAGCAGTAGCTGCTCCACCCCACCATACCCACGACGGGTGTACATACAGCAGAGCCAAACCACGCAGTTGAAAATAGCGTCCGGCCGGCTGGCGTTGCTTTTCGGTGGAACGCAGCCTCTCCGTCGCTGCTGCATGCATGCAGGGAAAAAGAAAGAAGCCGGCGTGCCGGCGTGTATGTGTGTGTGTGCCTGCCGGGGCGGCGGATCATACAACATGTTCACACGACGGAAGACAGAACACGCAGGTTACACACAGCAGTAACTGCTGTTGTGTCTCCCGCCGCCGGTGCCTTGCAAGGCTGTCACGCCATCGGCGCGCGAAAGAACAACGGCGTTGCGCTTGTGGCTGCAGCCGTTCCGATCCGTGAGTGGGTGCAGAGCTGTCTCAAACACGCACTACTGCTGTTGAAGACGGCCAAGAGTTGTTCCGAATCTTCCATACATACGTAGGAGTAAAAAGTGCATTTTGGCGCGCGTTTCCGAAAGCCGTTCCCCGAAAGTCATTGTCCCGTAGAGCTGTTCCACGAGCATGACTAACGTGCAGCAACTGTCTTTTGTAGAGCAACGGAATACGCCCTACACGTCGTTTGGCATTCATAGGCGGTACGCCTGCAGTCTTAACCCGTCCCACGGCGACACATGTCACTGCTCTCCAGCTGCGCTCCAGCTGCGCTCGATTCATCGATGTATCTGCTGAATGAATCATCGCGACAAAATGTTGGGTTGTTGGGAATCGGTATACCCCCCCGAGTGGAAATGGAGGGATCGCCTTCGCGAGAAATTTCGCGTAGTGAGGCACTACTGTAGAACAGGGGAAAGGCTACTTACCGCATTCGCGAGAATTCACCCAATTTTGCCAGATTGAACGCTTAATCCAACATGTTTACTTAAAACGTAGCAAAGGCTACGGGGAAGTGGGGGTATCAATATCAATATCAAGGGTCTTCCATTATGCTGCACAGCAAGAGTACTTGATAGAAAAACGTTGAAAAGGCTACTGGGAAATGGAGGTATCAAGGGTCTTTCATTGTGTAGCACAGCAGAGTCAAGTTTTTTTTCTTCTTCAGAAACCACACAGCCCCTCTTTGTCTATGCACGTACCTATTGATGATTGACAGGGCTTCATGTTGTCTCGACGTCTCTTAAGTTGTTTTGGCGTCCATACGCGGACGTATAGCACGCACTGCTTTCGCCATAGGCCGCACACGTGCGTGAGGCACGTGCTGTGCGTGGCGCAGCAGTTGCCGTACGTGCCAGATGTTTGTTCGTGTGCTGCGCTGGCCTTCCGCGCGCGCTTTGGTGACGGGAGTCCTGTTTATTCTGTGTGGGCCCGACCTACATGAACCACACGGCCGTATGCATGCCCCGCTCTGCATGCGGTTCAAAAATCCTCTTCTGTACCCGACCTGCAAGCACCAAAGGGGCACGTGGATGCGCAGCACGAGTATACCTCCCCCTGCTTCATTCTTTTGTTTTCTGCGTGTTTTGGGGCGGTCATCGCTGTTTGGTTGGTCCGCTTCACTATACCCAAAACGAGTGCAGAGGACCGCCGGTTGTTTGGAACTATTTGACAAGAAACACTCGTGGGTTTTTTTTTTGGGCTAACATTGTTGCCCCGCTCTGTCGTCTTCTTTTGGTTCATTTGAGCATCTGCCACCATATTGAACCCATCAAGGGCCTTGCGCAAGCCCCCCCTCCCCAGCTAGAGCTTGTCAGATTTTAAGGCATGCAGGTATATATATATATATATATGTACTCCTCCAGCTTGCCCTTTAGGAAAAACTCACGCGTGTTTCTTCCTGCGGCGTTGGAACGCATATTTTTGCCCGCCCTACATGTACTCAAATCGCCGGAGGGAGGGAGGGCTCATCCTCCAAGAACACGACCAAGCATGACACGTATTGATAGTACGTGTTCGCGTATGACCCTTGGGGGCGCCGGTTCGTGTCTGACTGACTATATACGTCGTCTGTGTCTTGTCTGCCTGTCTGTCTAATCTGGCTGTACACACGAATGGCCGACCTTGGCTAACAACGGAGGGCAGTTGTCGTCCCCTGCCGAGGTCGAAGACGCCAAGACCGCGGAGCGCCTGTGCTCAGCCTCGGCGATTTTTCTCGCCCTGTACGACGACGACGAGCCCACGGCTGAGACCGAAGACGCGCTACCACCGACGACGACGATGGGCGCCGACGGCCGCGGCGGCGGGACTTGCAGGCTCGGAGACTTGCTTCGACAGGTACTGCACGCGTCCTCCATGATGATGCCTCTCGACTGCTTGAGCTCCTCCTTAAGATGCCGCCGGCGTGCACCGTCATTCAACCCCTCTTCGGAGTGATGCGGCCTGGTTGGGCTGTTGGAAGTGCTCGGTCGGCCGCAGCAGAGTGGTGGTTGATTTCTGTTCGTCGTTGCTGTTCCCACCTTTGCATGGGGGTAGTAGCGATGCCGAGGAATGCTTCGGGTATTTTGACTTTGCTGTGTCCTCTGATCGATGGCCACCGATTCTCTGCGCGTGCACGCTACCGCTCCTCACAACACGACACCGGCGCTCGCCCCCCCCCCCTTTCATGTTTTGTCGCGGACCGGCAACCTCTGGTGGCTTATTATTCCTTTTGCAATGCCTAGGAACGTTTTTTGTATCATATATTTTTGTGTTGTACATGTGGACTAATTACACGCAGTTGCAAGAGAGAAGCCACGTTCAACTGAGGCCATCACAACAGCAGTTGCAAGAATCCATGTAGCAGGGAGCAACCCTCCCTGAGAACAGACGCGGCGGAAACTAGAGATTGACTTTTCGCGCGCTATCGCTGCTGTTGCCCGTATCCAAATCCCCTCCTTGAGTGGCGCAGGGGGGTACAATTCCTTACCTTCCTGCCTCCCTCCTGGTTTTCTCTCGCTTGCTCCGACCTCCCTTAGGGTTGGGGAGCCAGTTAAAAAAAAATCCGATTTGGATTCCTGATTTTACGCCTTTTACATTCACACCCACATGAGGCCGCAGGAGTTCTGCGTATTTCATTGGCAGAGCACACAAAAGCGCTGTGGCACTCAGTACGCGCCTCACAGAGACCCGTTGGCATCCAAACCTTCGAGACCGCGCAGTGCATTGGTGTGAGCCTCTTCGAGCCAAGTTTGGGGAGCTGGTGTGCAGTGTGCATTCATCGTGCTGTATAAATGTTGGAATTCCAATGTGGAATTGCTGGGCGATCGTGGTTGGAATTCCTCATGAATTCCCAGCTGGAATAGCTTGAAATTCCAAACTGGAAATGGTGAAATTGCATTCATATCAAAGGCATACTCTACGCACACTGCACTAGCTGCCCAACCTTGGCTCCGATGAGCTCACAGTAGTGGTGTACAGCCTTATCGGTTAGATGACAAACGGGGTCTGTGAGGCGAGGACGAACTGACAAAGCGCTTTGGTGCTCTCTGCTTGCTATCCAGTACGCAGACCTCCTTCTTTTAGGGGGGGGTGGAGCATCATCTGTCGGTCCCCCGGATTCCCGTCTGGGAAAGTTTTCCACAAGGCCGAGTCTTACGTTGTGATCATTTCGGGATTTTTTTTTGGGGGGAGGGTCCTTTTCTCAGCCCAAGCAATTATTTGAGCGTCTCACGTGGAGGAATTAGGCCATTTCCAAACGCTCAAATCCCAGATGGCCGAATATCTAACAATGACCTGCCGTATTCATACACCAAATGATAGGGTTGGGTACTGAACCAGTACGTACTGGCAGTGCACATGCGCTGGCAGTGCGTGTGCACTGGCTGCGTCAGCAGCCAGTACTCCAGTACATTCCAATATTCGCAGATTTCCTCGATAAGAGGCCTCAAGAACCAGCGGAAACCCATCTACCGGAACAATCGAACACCCCCGCGGCCGCGAAGAGGGGCTAGGGTAGTGGCTGTCTTTGATGGTGGCTGTCTTTGATGGGGAGGATCTTAGTTTGGTTTTCTGCTGAAGGGTGCTGGTGGCGCAAAGAATCGCCATCCCAAGTCTCTGCTTGTTGTGCTGGTGCTAGCGGCAGTGATTTGTGCGCGGTGTAGGTTTGGGTTGTGTAGGTTTGGCGCTGTTCTTATCTCCTACTTGAGCATTCTATCAAGCTGGTGGTTCATTTGTTGCACAACTTATCCTGTCGTTTCTAGGGAAACAAGTAGATGGACTAGTCGTTTCCTTTTTAGCTTTTAAGCTCTTAGCTGGTTTCTTGGTATACGTTCAGGGCTGCCGTGTTGTTGTATCCTTCGTAGAGTCCTTCGTGTTTATGCGAGAGAGGGGCTGTAGACTCCAGTATACGAGAGCGTCGCTCATCAACCCAACTGATGGATGTCACTTGGTTGCTTGGGAGTAGCATTTTAATAATTCTAGTTAAATATTTCCTTATGTCGAAAACCAACAAATTCAGTCGTTGAACTCGAAATTTCTATCGTTTCCCCGCGATAGTGCCTGTGTCAGATGGGCCAAA